AAACATTTCACAATTTGTAACACTCTGATCTATACAGGTGTTACGGATCAACTGGGGATCATGTTAACTGGGGACGCGCGCGTGCACGCAGATAGTTTTACCTGGATTTCCAGCAGATGTTAACAGCGACAGATTCATGCCCTATTTTACGGATCACCGATTAAAAACGAATATTTCACCAGTTGTATACACTTGTATGCGAATAAAGCGCTTTGTTTTTGCAGTGTATGATATTCCTTCGTATTTGACGCATTTTCAAAGAAGTTTAACATACTTTAGAAGCTCAGAAACCACGCCTATGTTAAAAAGGGTCATTCGGTTTCATTGGATGAACAGACTTGTCAGCGCACTTCAGAAGACGTGTAAGAATTTTCTTCTCAACAAATTAGTGTATCGTATTTTGTTTAGTATGTGTTGTCATGAGTTCTATCACAAATAACAACAGATGTAGATTTAAGTTCAAGTAGGCTATAAAAGAAACATAAATTGCAAAGTCATGCACATTTTTTTCAACAAGTTGCATTTATCGATCTGCATAGGGCTTATATATAGCCTAATTTTATAACGGATCTATTATTTTTATATAAAAAACACTTATCAGCTTATTTTACTCTGCTATATTTAGATCTCTTTTTTGAACAACCAGCTCTGTTTTCCCTGCACATAAAGCATCAATGCTTATAGGGTCATGAAGTTAATTATCTCATGAACTTGTAACATTTTCAACAGATTTATAAAATAAAAAATAATATCTTTGTTTCTTTCAGAACAATTCTGTATTTACCACTGCATCTTCTTAGAAGCATATAATCATTTGATTAACCAATTGATCAAACTATGTTATGAAGTATCCTGTAGCTCAAACAGTAGAGTGTTGGTGCTTGCAACGCCACGGTCATGGGTTTGAATCCCAGGGAAAGCAAGACCTCATAAGACTTTAACATGTGTATCTTGTTGAAATGCAATAAGCGTTTATGTAAGTCACTCAAATATACATTATGCTCAGTAGCATGAACTTGAATGTTGTGTATGTTGTATTGGACATTTAGAGAACACTTTGTCTTTAGTGATTAAAGTCCTGTGAAAAACACAGAGTGGCTAGTGCAACCACAAATTATCTTACTGAAATAAGCAAAACATATGATATAGTGATGATGAATTATTACAAATAGCCTATATAGGCCTACTGATATTCTATATGGCTAATTTTCACATCAGCCTACATCACTAATCATTGTCACCTCGCATGAATAGCATGACTCTCTCTAAAACAATAGGAAATGCTTTATTGTTTACTTTTTTGCTGACCTCTTTAATAACAAAATATATATGACACAATGGTCTATGAGTTTAATAAATAAAATGTAATGGGTTTGTGCCTCTTTTTATGTCATATAAATTTAAATTATGCCAGTTCTCTTCATTTGACTGGTATGAAAATCGTTAAAAGATCAGTTCACTTTCAAACTATTTTTTGCTGATATATCTACAGCACTCAGGAATGTTTTCCTCAAAAACCTTAATTTCTTTTTGACTGAAAGAAAGACATGGATATCTTGGATGACATGGGGGTGAGTAAATGATGAGCAAAAATGTTTTTTGAAAGTGAACTAATCCTTGAACATTCTCTTTACTTGTTATTCGTCACATCATGTGCCTTCATTGTTGTCGTCTGCTATCTGTTAGGAACAGATTAAACAAAGGTCTATAAATTTAGTGTCATTATTGTAACTTGTGTCATTGTTGTTAGGCCATATATATACTACCACAGCAAAATGATGCAATTAAAGTTAGACAAATCAAAAACTTTGTAGGATAACCAATATCCTGACAGCTGCTCAAGAAAGGAACACTAGAGGAGATGTGAAAATGTCACAATGAAGGGTACTTGTGTGTTAAATTACTATAAAAAGGTAAGACAACTGTGACTTTGATTTTTTTCTAATATAACATGATTACATCAGATGGAGAGCAGCATAGGTGAAGGCCAAACTGGCCAATGGGTAAGAAAAATGTATACATATACATTGCAAAACAAGTAACTGTTCTTCATTAGCATGTAACTTATTCTAGTTTGTTCTTCCTTGATTGAATGTTCAGAATGTGGAAGGTGGGACTGTGTGGTCAGACCTTCACAGTTGGAAAAAATGCCTACAGCTGTCCTGCATGCATGCACATTTGCCTACATTTTTTCTTTTGTTATTGTTGCTTTCATGTTAGCTAATGAATATGTTTGTTGAACATTCCCCTATATAAATGCTGTGGGTAAATCACTGAATCGGATGCATAAGCTATGGCTTATCAATTTTCACCACTCTTTATGAACATTTATGGAGTGTACTGTATGCTTTAACTAATTTCTCAGCAACATTAAAATAAATAAATAAATAATAAATAAATAAATGCTTGACATGTCCCTTTAACCACAGCAGTATTGCTGCTCAATTTAAATTAAGCCACAAATTGGTATCATAACAATAATCTGCGAATACACACGCACTGCAACGACACAATGTCAAAAGCAATTTATTTAATATATTTACAGTTGTCATCGATACAAATTTCATTAAAACGAATGACAAAATAACAAAATAATGTGGGCGTGGTCTGTGTGTCGCGAAATTAAAGCACATAACTTCCCTTAAATGCGTCTGAAACATACAGCGGAGCAGCGAAGAGTAGCTAAACAACATATGATACAAACATTCAACAATAACGTGGAAAGCTTTTAAATCTGCTCAGTGAAAAATTAGCTGTGACGAATCTGTCACCGTTTAACATCTGCTGGAAATCCAGGTAAAACTGTCTGCGTGCACGCGCACTTCCCCAGTTAACATGATCCCCAGTTGATCCGTACACCGGCAGCATTTCTCACAGCGAGCATCAATAGTGGAGGAGACTAGCCTACTGAGACTAAGGAAACAGGAAACTGTGAACAAGCTTTAAGTCCATAAAGAAACAAAACGAACAAATAGCAGAATATCCCTGACAGTTATTGTGTCACGTAATGTAGTTTTAAGAGTTTTTTAGGCAAGAATGTAGTTGTTTAGACCTATGCGATTAATATATAAACAGGGACGTTATTTTTTACTAATAACAACAACTGCAACCAACAAATGCATTGACTAGCGCTGTCATGGGAAATCCCCTTAACTAAAAGCATACTAAGACAAAGTTATTGCTTTCATCAGTGGACATTCAAACTGTTTTTTTTTTTAATTAAGAAAATAAGATTGACCTGAACAGTAAATGCTGTATCTTATGCATGTAATACACTCGTCAATCTCTTTCTCATAATACGGCACATATTCCAATAAGCTTCAATGAAGCAACTCTGTGTTCCTTCAAGTTCTAAAATTACATTTTAGAATTAGTAACAGAGGCTTGGACTGTCAACTTGAGATTTGAATCCATGGCAGCCGCGGAAGTAGGCCTAAGTATTTCTGCACAAAACAGGAGACACTCCGTTGTTGTTACTTATTTGACACATATATGTGGCCTCAAACTGTTGTATAAAAGAAATATCACACTTGTTTTCGTGCGATATGGCTCTATATCAGCACTGCTGTCATTCGCCTCCAGCCTATGGCCTAATCACAGGCTTGCTGATATAGAACCAAATTGCACTCCTAAACTTGTGAAATTGCTCATTTATATTGGAGGAGATTATGTTGTCATAAATCCAGTCCATGATCACGTCCTGTAGCCTAAAGCCACAAACGTTTCGACATCTAATTTGAGACTCCCAAGGTGGAAAACCTTTAACCAGAAATAAAGTGCTTATAAACACAGTGACCATCAACAAACATCATTATTAATAGTTATCCTGCTAAATCTAAAGAGCTGCTGAACATGTTTCGTTGTTTCTTTTAACAATGACTAATAAAGATCTATCTATCTATCTATTACAAAGCTGGGATGAGCAGGATATTATTTAATATAACTCTGATTGTGTTTGGCTGAAAGAAGAAAGTCTTTTACTATGCTTGAGGGTGAGTAAATTATAAGATCATTTTCATTTTTGGGTGAACTATTGCTTCAACACTTTCTCTGACAAGCGGATGCTATGAGAATCCTCGAGTGAAGACCTACTTCATCTGTTAAAAAAAATTAAGCCATTTAGAATTTTCTGGAAAACCTACTTTTACGCACTCCTCCTCCAGGCCATTTGGCCGATCTACATCAAATAAGGCACACAGCAGTTATGGATGGTGCCGACAAAAAAGTTTGTAACGGCTCCTGAAGGTTTTCTTCTGATTAAAAGAATCATGCTTCAACTGATCTTCTTTGCAAAAGAAGTCGTGGGACCTTACTTCTTCAACACCAGTTGAACATTGTGACACCCTGTGGGTATTGTTTGACATCTTTCAACATCTTGACATCTTTACATCATGATACCGTGGAAAACTAAAACAAATTAAATTACATTTAGATGCATAATGTGTGAGTGTTTTTCTGTCCATATCACAGTTTCCAAGTCCGTATCTTATTAAATCAGTATCAACACACAAAGCACATAACTAGCAAATTAACAGACGAAATCCCAAAAAATAAATATAGGCCTACCGTGTGCGCCTTCTAGTCAGAAATCCAGGGGACATTAAGAGACATTTGGAGACATTTTTTTTTTCAAGCAAATATTGATCAGACACCTATTCTGTGCGTTTCCTTGTGGTTCTGACAAAGCTTGCTAGATCACATGACAGGTTATAACAATATTGTTCACCTGTAGACGTCGCTATTACCAAATTATTGCGATAGCCTATACAATTTCCAAATGAACAAATACATTACACAACATTTGTAATAAACAAAATACATTTCACAAATAAATAACTCAAATATTTAGAAAGAAAATAGGAACAAAGTTGGCCACTCGTTACTTAATAAAATAATTGAAATCAGTGTGAAATGTGAGAATCTGCTAAACAAATCATGTGTAAAGCTCTTGCCTTAAACAGAATCATAATTGTATTGCCTTTACGTCATTGCTTCACACCCACACCCAGTAGTGACGGAACACCGTGAGCTGATTTGACAACCGCCTTGAGCTAAGAAGCAGCAGAAGAAAAAGGTAATAAATCGAGGCTATAATTTAGAAGCTTTATTTTCTTGACCGGTCTTTCAGAATAAAACGAGCTGAACTGACCAGTCTAGCGTTAAAGCAGCCGTTGACGTAATTAGACGTAGTTAATACCTTTAATCTGTCAATTTGAGTTTGAAAGTAAAGCACTTTACCAAGGTGGGTTTAAGTAGCCTATTTAATTGGGAAACATTTTTAGTATTTGACCAGATGTAGAAATGCATGTGTGAGGCTCTCGACCTATCCATTGTTTTCCCAATAAATACCACAGTTAGATTAAATTATATTCAACAATTTTATACAGGCATAAACAAATTACTTAAAACAGCCAACGCTTAGGCTAAAGCTGCATAATACAGGCGAATGTTTGGATGCGGAAGCGCATGATATTAAGGGACCGTCTGAAAATTACCCACTGCGTTAAAACATCAGCAAGGTACAAGCTATTTCAATGACTTATAAACAACATCAGCCAAGTTTTAATCAACTTTTTGTGTTGTTTTGTTGTCGACAAAGTGAATTTTAGTAAAAATAATTTAAAAATAAAAAAATTCGCATCCCAAATATTTGTAAAATGCTGAGAGTAATGAGCTAATTGAATTTTTTTTACTGAAGGCCTATTACTAAATTAGGAAATATTAATCAGAAGATCTTGTGGGACTTGTCTGACAAGAACACATGTAAATGCCCTAATGTGACAAAGGTCATTGGTTTGGACACAGGGCAGCTAATTATTTTTTCTGTAGGCCTATGCAAATTTTGGTAGCTACAGTGAAATGTTCAGTCATATCCAATCTTCAAAAAGCCTTGAACATGCAGTCAAGCCAATTGAGATTTGGCATGGCCTAGAACTACAGATTGTTCAAACCAAAAAAGTTATTTTTTCTTAAAGGTTTTAGAATTCAGAAACATCAAATGGATCGAAAACGTGCAATCACTGCTGATATTTGTTTTCAGAGACAGATCGCTGTGTAACCTAAACATTTTATTTGTGTAAACTTTTTTTAAATGGTCTATAGCTGTAGCAGTCTTGACAATACTAAAATTCGTTTAGAGCTTTTTGTTTTCAACCCACTTTATTTTCCTAATTTGTTTGAGATAAAATTGTTACATATTAGTAAATTAATAATTACATAATACAAAATAACTAATAATACATATTTCATTATATAGTTTTATTATTAACAAGTGCCATGTTTGTGATTATCATTTGTCAAGTATAGCTAGTTCCCCTTCAGTCGCTCACGTTCGACGTGACGACGTTATGGGATCACTTCAGGGAGCCCTATCAACTTCGAGTATCTAAAGAACAAGCCAATGAACGTTGGCGTGCGTGAATGCGTCACGCGCCCCTGCCCCGCAGCGCGGGTATAAAACAGGAAGTGGGCGCGCGCACCCACTGTCTTTCATTTCGGAGCCGAGTTTCCTGGGACTTCTGTCTAAGAATTCAGCGCTTTGAAGACTTCAAGGAGATCTCTCTGCCTGCAGTGTTGGTGTGACGGCGCGATCAGCGGTGGCCGCGAGCCGTGCAGCTCTCAACTGCTGTTCTCACAGCACTATTGTTTGTGTGTGTGTGTCCACACAGTGGCTACCCCTGGGCGCCTCAGCACTGTGAGAGCATTTTTCCTTTTTTCCTTTACTAAAAGAGCAACACAAGCGGACCCTGCGTCTTTTTCAAGATGTCATTCCGCTTGTGCGTTTCTGGATGCCGTCGTTCCCTGGCGCCAGCAGATGGTCACAATAGCTGCATCTCGTGTTTGGGCATTCAGCACGCTGAGGCAGCTTTTGTGGATAGTTCATGTTCCCATTGCGGGAATATGACTATCGCAGCACTTAGATCGAGACTCGCTTACCTCAAGGGAGGTGCAGTCCCCTCGCCTATGCCCCGATCTAGTGCTTATTCTGCCCCGCAGAATAGGCCTACTTCGGCGCATGGCCAGGGTGATCTGAGGATCACCGTGAGGGCTTCCCCGCCGAGGCAATCTCTGCTGGCCCCTCACGCCTCTCATGTGCTGTTGCCATCGGCGCCCCTTTGTGAACGGCTCGGTCCTTCTCCGGAACGACCAGTCGTTTCCTTTGGTGCGCCAGCTGACGATCAGATGTCGATCGCAGCATCGGAGGGGGAGCGGTCCTCTGGAGATGACGACTCGGCTGCGTTGCCCCCTTCGGGGTGTGTAGTGTTGTCCGAGCCTGATCCAGAATGGGCGGCTATGCTTTCCCAGGCCGCCGAGAAGGTCGGGCTTGCGTGGAATCCTCCACCACGTCCCGAACCTTCTCGGTTGGACGATTGGTTTCTCGGGGCGGGCCGTGCTGGTTCTCAGTGCGCCGCCCCGGTACCTTTCTTTCCGGAGGTGCATGAGGAGCTTTCTAGGACGTGGAAGGCACCGTATAGTGCCCGAAGCCGTTCTAGTGGCTCCTCTCCCCTCGCCACCCTCGACGGTGGAGGGAGCAAAGGGGTATGTGGAGATCCCCCCAGTGGAGCGGGCTGTCGCGATGCAGTTGTGTCCGGCGTTCGCCTCCTCCTGGCGGGGTAATCCACGCCTCCCGTCCAAGGCCTGTAAGTTCTCGTCCGGTCTAACGGCGAGGGCTTACAAGGCCTGTGGACAGGGTGCTTCCGCCCTCCATCCCATGGCGCTTTTGCAGGTCCACCAGGCCCAAGCGCTCATGGACATGAACGAGGGTGGTTCTGACCCAGAGCTCCTCCGGGAGCTCCGTGTGGCAACTGACCTCGCCCTCCGGGCGACGAAGAAAACCGCACGTTCAGTCGGTCAGGCGATGTCCACCTTGGTGGTCCAGGAGCGCCACCTTTAGCTTAACCTGGCGGACATGAGGGACACCGATAAATATCGGTTCCTGGATGCCCCTCTCTCCCAGGTTGGGTTGTTCGGCGACGCGGTCCAGAGCTTTGCCCAGCAGTTCTCGGCCGCACAGAAGCAGACGGAGGCCATTCGACACATCCTGCCCCGGCGGACCGCTGCTGCTCCCACCCGTCTGCCGGCCGCAGCCCCTCCGTCTACTCTTCGCCGAGGTCGGCCTCCTGCAGCGTCCTCCGCTCCCGCTAAGCCCCAGCAGCAGCCACCATCCAGGCCTCAGCGTGGAGCAAGCCGCAGGAAGCCGACCCCGCACGTCCAGGCCGCTGCCAATCCAGGAGGCAAGCGTCGGTGCAAACGACCCTGAGACGGGCGGCCCAGAAGTGGATCAAGTTGCTCTTCAGGAGATGGCGAACGTGCCACTCCTTCCCCCGGTGGAGAGCCGGGTGGAGAATCCTTTGTTTCCTTTTCTTTTTGTTCCGCCACTGGTACCCACCTTTTCAAAGAAAGAGCAATTTCTGAAACCTCTGGGCCCCAAGAGGGGGCGCTTGGAAGTCGACGACGCTATGCCTTGTCACTCCCGAGCCCCTCTTTCATCGCCAGCGGGCAGCAGTGGCTGTGTCCTGGACGCAGTATCGCCTCTGCACACTCACTCTGCCCTCCGATGGAAGCAGGTACATTTTGCACCACACATTCAGACCCCACTTCGGGCCGCTATGCCGCCCGAGTTGGGTCCCTGCATTCCGCCATGCTGCCCCACTCCGGGTACGTCTGTGGTGCCGTTGGTCCCGCTTGCTCGGTCTCTGGGAGCTTGGTTAACGCTTCCCAGCCCATCTCGCTGGCTCATCCGTACCATCAGACTCGGCTATGCGATTCAGTTCGCCCGGCGCCCCCCTGTTTTCAAGGGCATCCTGTTAACCCGTGTTCTGGCGGACAGTGCCCCTGTTCTCAGGGCGGAGATTGCAGTCCTACTGGCGAAGGACGCAATCGAGCCAGTCCCTCCAGCCGAAATGAAGACTGGCTTCTACAGCCCGTACTTCATTGTACCCAAGAAAGGAGGTGGGTTACGGCCAATCTTGGACCTGCGCGTCCTGAATCGGTCCCTTCACAGGCTGCCGTTCAAGATGCTTACGCAGAAACGCATTTTCAAATGCATCCGTCGCCAAGATTGGTTTGCAGCGATCGACCTGAAGGACGCGTGCTTTAATGTCTCGATTCTCCCTCGACACAGACCGTTTCTTCGCTTTGCGTTCGAGGGATGGGCATATCATTACAAAGTCTTACCCTTCGGGCTGGCCCTGTCGCCCCGCGTCTTCACGAAAGTCGCGGAGGCGGCCATTGCTCCCATGTGCGAGCGTGGTGTTCGCATTCTCAACTACCTCGACGACTGGCTTATTCTCGCCCAGTCGAGAGAGCAGTTGTGCGAACACAGGGACATGGTGCTCAGTCACCTCAGCCACCTAGGGTTTCGGGTCAACTGGGAAAAGAGCAAACTCACCCCCGGGCAGAGGATCTCTTTTCTCGGTATGGAGTTGGACTCGATCAACATGACAGCGCGCCTCACCGAGGCCCGTGTCCAGTCAGTGTTGAACTGCGTGAGTACGCTCAGACGCAGAACAGCGGCACCACTGAAACTATTTCAGAGGCTCCTGGGGCATATGGCATCTGCAGCCGCGGTAAGGCCGCTCGGATTGCTTCATATGAGACCGCTCCAACACTTGCTCCACGATCGAGTCCCGAGATGGGCGTGGCAGAGCGGCTCGTGCCGGGTTCCAGTGACCCCGCACTGTCGCCAAACTCTCAGCTTGTGGTCGGAACCTTCGTTCCTGCGGGCAGGTGTTCCCCTAATAAAAGTGTCCAGGCACTCTGTGGTCTCCACGGATGCCTCTATCACCGGCTGGGGGGCCACGTACAACGGGCATGCAGCTTCAGGTCTGTGGACGGGGCCTCAACTGCATTGGCACATCAACTGCCTCGAGTTGTTAGCAGTACATCTTGCGTTGGGCCGCTTCAAAACGTCGCTACAAGGCAAGCATGTACTGGTCCGTACAGACAACACTGCGACCGTTGCGTACATCAACCGTCAGGGCGGTCTACGGTCCCGCCGCATGTCACAACTCGCCCGCCATCTCCTCCTTTGGAGTCAGAAGCATCTGAGGTCGCTTCGTGCCGTTTACATTC